GTTACCTAGCAACAGTGTATGTTAACGTTAGCTCAGTCAACGTAGGCTATCCTGACCTGAGCTAATTCACTGAATCAACCAACTCACATCTTTCTTTCTTTCTTTCTTTCTTTTCATCTATGATGACATTAAAGTCATCTGTTGCTTCTTCTGGCGTTTCATCGCTGACTGTGCCGCGATCGCGATACCTGCTCATTAGAACTTACAGTGAGCTATTTTTAGAGTGTGCACACGACGTTCCTTGACGCGGACGCGCGCGTCTGTGCCCTGCTCTGTCCTGCTCCTCCGTGGCGATGACGGCGTGCGGTTAAAAAAATCATAACAAACGAATTTGAAAGTGGGGGGGACACAAACGTGATTTTGAAAAGTGGGGGGGACATGTCCCCCCTGTCCCCAGTGGAAATTACGCCCCTGCCTGATTAGCATAGTCTACGACCCTACGCTAATTTGCACTGTTCCTAGTAAATTGCGTTGGTCATTATATAAATTAGCTGTGTTCTTTAATTTGCACATTGTCAGTAGATCAATAATAGAACTTTCCACTCCCATCCAGTTTTGTCTATGAAATGTGTTAACGTATAACAAATTGTCAAAAAAAAACATCACATTCAGTTTGCACTTAACAGTGAAAGGGAAAAAATGAAAATTTGGTCATGATTTACTCCCCCTAATGTCATTGTAAACCCATAAGATCTTGGAAACACTGTTTAATTAAACCTCAGAGGGTTCTGTCACTCCACTGAAAGTCTATTGGATTACATCTCTGCCACAATTCTGCGCACGAAAGATCATATTTTGAGTGCGCAAAGGTGCGTTTTGCATGCGCGCGAACTGAGTTTTGTGGAGAAAATATTTTTCTTTCGCGCGCAGAATTGTGGCAGAGATCTAAGCCTATAAAAGTCCAGGTAACCCAAACTCAAATGATCCAAAAAGGTTAATAAGATGACATATTTGTTTTAATCTTATATGATAGATATATGAAGAGATTTAATTTAGGGTTTTATTTACTTTTAAACAACAGTCAAAACACACATACACACTGTGAACACATATGTGTGTGCATGCATCACGCGCTAAACCAAACCTCATTGATTTTCATGTAACACACAAGCGCGCTGAAGATTCTGTGTTTACCATGTGTGATTCGCTGTGCTTATATGTGAATAAAAGCCTATCAATTTAATCTGTTCATCACATAAAGCAATTGTGTCTCTTCACAAGACTTGGATTAAATAATCGATTCATATGGATTCATTTTACATCACTTTCAAAACATTTTTGCATTTTTTTAAAGGTTTTGTTACCCAGATATCTATTTTTTTATTATATTATTTTCTATAATAAGTACTCTTTTCAGAAGTATGCTAAAGTGTACTTCTTTTTCACTAGGGTATACAGCAAATGCCAACTGCACCTTAGGGCAAGTTATTTATTTTTCATTGGCTCAAGTTAAAAAATATAGATGTGAATCATTACCCTAATTTTTTTTAATTGGATGAATGAAACATTTTTTTCAGTGTGTTATAGGACACTACAAACAAAGATAATAAATAGCGCATGAAGATGACGTAGATCAGCCTCCAGTCTGTAGCTTCTGAGCAGATAAAGATGTCAGAAAAAAAATGAAATATGGTGCAACATACCTGTAATACACTTTAACCTTTAGAATCCATTGGATGTAATAGCCAAGTATATATCTTATCAGAAGTGAAGTGAACTCAATCAGAACCTCATTCCTCTCATGAATAAGTGCGTTTGACATTTAGCAATGAATGAACTCTTCATGTGGTGCTATTTTCAGGTCTGTGAAAGACATTCTACAGGTTTCCAGCTAAGAAGAGAAAAATCATAAATTGTCTGTGGCTTTTTGACAGCCCAGCCAGCCAAACACATCACATAGCATCTCTTTCTATGTTTGCCATCTAAAAGAGTAAATATTTGTTTTGTCCAAGTTCTACACCAAGTTATAGTCTCTCTCTCTCTCTCTCTCTCTCTCTCTCTCTCTATATATGTGTAGGGTGACCAGACGTGAACAAGAAGACTTCTTATTTTACAAAGCTAATAGTACATTCGCTGTATGTGTGGACATTTGTGTGTTTTCAGCTGTCAAGTGGATATTCCACACCTGCGGAGCAACAGGACAAGACGGTCCAACGCCGACTCAGTGCAGTAACTCATACCGCAACACCAATGTCAATGTCACTGTAGGCACTAAGGGACCATTCAAGGGCATCCAGATGTGGCGGGTCCCAGAGACAAGGAAATACAGGTGCATGCACACACACATAATGTCCTGACCACCACAACCCAAAATGCCATACTGTTCAGCCTCTAGGAATTTAGTAGTTACTTTTTCGACCATGAAATGGGAAAGCATTCTTCTTCTGCACAATTGCTGCCTGTTATCGAGCCCGTCAGGTCATTCAGATAATTGTTGTCCGTGGAGCAGGAGGAATGGGAAAACACATTTCATCAGCTGCATTGCTTCAGTAGCACCCAGACTGATAATGACATTCACTTAGCAAAGTCTGTAAAGAAAATACTTTTTTTCAGCTCTGTTCAAAGTGAGCTGTCTACCTAGACGACATTTTAAGACATGCTCCTGATGCAAATGCTGTTTCAGAAGGTAATATTATGCTGTCTGCTGGAATATCTCATTTGACCAAATACTGAGACGGCATTGTAAGTAGCTTCTGTTGGAGAAAAAGAAAAATGAGTTCAGCTCAAACAATCCATCCAAGATGGCTGATGGAGTAGTGAGAAACAGTTGTTGTTTAGAATGACAGTCTATATTGGAAAAAGATTAAATTTTTTGACATCGAAATGGTGTTATCTGTGTTTTTCCCCCTTTGTGCAAATTTTGCAAATTATAGTCATCTGTGACTTATTTTCTGGAAAGTATGGTAATTAAAATGGACTGTTTCACACAATATTAATGTGTTGTGTCATTTTAAAGTAAAAACAGTAACACGTTGTTTGCTTAGCAACATGCTAATATCAAAATCACCTGGAACTGCACTTGTGGAGATGTTTACTGTATGTAGACTGTTGCATTCACTTATGTGGTTCCATTTCAGTTAGAATGCTGCTGAAGGCAGTAAACTGCAGGGCAGCTTGCTAGCTTTAGGAACAGAGCATTCATGCCATTCCTGGTTCAATGGCGGTGTAGTTACTAAAAGTCAGGGATTGTAATTAGAAGATTGTCGGTTTGATCCCCGTAAGAAGTGTGTGAAGAACCAGTTCCATTGTGCCTTTGAGCAAAACACTTAACCCCTGGTCACTCACGGAGAATTGTCCCTGTAATAAGTGCACTATAAGTCACTCTGGGAGAAAGCAGCAGCTAAATGACTCCTTACTTATTTGTCTTGGGTTTAGGATCACGGCGTATGGAGCAGCTGGTGGACGCAGTGTCCAGGCTGTCCACAAGTCACATGGGGTGTACATGACCGGAGACTTCCTGTTACAGAAGGATGAACTGCTGTATATTCTAGTGGGACAGGAAGGAGAGGATGCTTGCCCAAATGTGAGTAATCCTTTCTTCCAATATATCCCTGTGCTACTGTTTCAAAAAATGTAAAAAGGGTATGATTAGCATCTAGTAAAACGTGAAAGGATTGCATTTTTTTCTTTTTCTTTCATAGATGGTGCCTACTATGGACCGGATCTGCAGGGAACAGCAAGGACCATCAATCAACAAGACCCAGCTTAAGGGAGGAGGTGGTGGAGGAGGAGGAGGCACCTACGTCTTCAAGGTGACACTATATAAAATGCATTTTAAACTGGATATTTCCAACATTGTACATTTAAATATGTGTACATCTATTTGGACAGTGTGCCCAGAAATGGGGGGGAAAAAAAGTCATCAACTGTCATCAACTGTTCGGTCACCATCATTCTTCAAAATATCTCAAACTTAAACGTGTACATGTTTGGAACAAGTTGAGAGTGGTGATGATGACAAAATGTTAATTCTTGGGTGAATTATCCCTCAGTTTCTTCAGTCAGTGTCTTTGAAAATATCTAACTTTGAGTGTTAAATGTTGGGGCATGCACCACAATTAATGACCTCAAATCAATCAATCAATCAATCAATCAGTAAATGGCAGACAGAGTTGTATGTAACAATTACCTATACATATAGTTAATTCAATACTGATATCAATAAAGATATTTTCTAATCTAATTACAAGTCACTGTTTTAGCCAATATTCACGTGTCATGTCATGTTTATGTGTAAAATAGTATTGGGTGTTAGCTTAGCCACATGCTAACATCAAATTTTATTGAAATTCTGCTTTATCTGAAGAACATTGTTGAGTAACTATGTAGAGTATGCAAACCAGGTTCAATCTCACCAATATAATTGATGAGAAAGTCCTTAAAGCCATACGTAGAAGGAAGGGTCATACAGGTGCATCTCAATAAATTAGAATGTCGTGGAAAAGTTCATTTATTTCAGTTATTCAACTCAAATTGTGAAACTCGTGTATTAAATAAATTCAATGCACAAAGACTGAAGTAGTTTAAGTCTTTGGTTCTTTTAATTGTGATGATTTTGGCTCACATTTAACAAAAACCCACCAACTCACTATCTCAACAAATTAGAATACTCCATAAGACCAATAAAAAAAACATTTTTAGTGAATTGTTGGCCTTCTGGAAAGTATGTTCATTTACTGTACATGTACTCAATACATGGTAGGGGCTCCTTTTGCTTTAATTACCGCCTCAATTCGGCGTGGCATGGAGGGGATCAGTTTGTGGCACTGCTGAGGTGGTATGGAAGCCCAGGTTTCTTTGACAGTGGCCTTCAGCTCATCTACATTTTTTGGTCTCTTGTTTCTCATTTTCCACTTGACAATACCCCATAGATTCTCTATGGGGTTCAGGTCTGGTGAGTTTGCTGGCCAGTCAAGCACACCAACACCATGGTCATTTAACCAACTTTTGATGCTTTTGGCAGTGTGGGCAGGTGCCAAATCCTGCTGGAAAATGAAATCAGCATCTTCAAAAAGCTGGTCAGCAGAAGGAAGCATGAAGTGCTCCAAAATGTCTTGGTAAACGGGTGCAGTGACGTTGGTTTTCAAAAAACACAATGGACCAACACCAGCAGATGACATTGCACCCCAAATCATCACAGACTGTGGAAACTTAACACTGGACTTCAAGCAACTTGGGCTATGAGCTTCTCCACCCTTCCTCCAGACTCTAGGACCTTGGTTTCCAAATGAAATACAAAACTTGCTCTCATCTGAAAAGAGGACTTTGGACCACTGGGCAACAGTCCAGTTCTTCTTCTCCTTAGCCCAGGTAAGACGCCTCTGACGTTGTCTGTGGTTCAGGAGTAGCTTAACAAGAGGAATACGACAACTGTAGCCAAATTCCTTGACACGTCTGTGTGTGGTGGCTCTTGATGCCTTGACCCCAGCCTCAGTCCATTCCTTGTGAAGTTCACTCAAATTCTTGAATCGATTTTGCTTGACAATCCTCATAAGGCTGCAGTTCTCTCGGTTGGTTGTGCATCTTTTTCTTCCACACTTTTTCCTTCCACTCAACTTTCTGTTAACATGCTTGGATACAGCACTCTGTGAACAGCCAGCTTCTTTGACAATGAATGTTTGTGGCTTACCCTCCTTGTGAAGGGTGTCAATGATTGTCTTCTGGACAACTGTCAGATCAGCAGTCTTCCCCATGATTGTATAGCCTAGTGAACCAAACTGAGAGACCATTTTGAAGGCTCAGGAAACCTTTGCAGGTGTTTTGAGTTGATTAGCTGATTGGCATGTCACCATATTCTAATTAGTTGAGATAGTGAATTGGTGGGTTTTTGTTAAATGTGAACCAAAATCATCACAATTAAAAGAACCAAAGACTTAAACTACTTCAGTCTGTGTGCATTGAATTTATTTAATACACGAGTTTCACAATTTGAGTTGAATTACTGAAATAAATGAACTTTTCCACGACATCCTAATTTATTGAGATGCACCTGTATATACAGATTGGGGCTGGGCCCACAAGCAATCACCTTGAACACAGCAGAAACAACATAGTAACACCTTAGAATAGCAATACCCAGGCGACACCGCAGTAGCATCATGGCACCTCACATTTCAGTGACAATTGGAAGATTTACACTGTTAAATTATAGTCTTACACTTCCTGTTTCCATTGGTTACAGGTGGTAAATGGAGTCCACATTCCACTATTCATTGCTGCTGGAGGTGGAGGCCGTGGCTACAGCAGCCAATCAGAAACCCTAGAGGAAGTGATGGACAGGGATCCCAGCATTCCCGGACGTAATGGAAAATCAGGCGCTGCAGGTAACCCCAACAGATTGTCTGCATTATAAATCAATTAGACAAATTTTAGTATTACTGAACTAGTGTGTATTACTCCTTCTGGCAGACAGCAGCTCACAATAGCAGTGAAGCAGAACATATTGCACACAGGGCAGAGAGTTGTATTTATTTATTTATTTTTTTACTTAACAGGGATGTTCATAGGAGACTATTTTCTCTGGAGAAATTGCTGAGCCACTCTGCATTCATAGATCTGTTGGAGGATGGATATAAATAAAAAAATGTTATATTGTCACCTGTTGTGAAATTAATTAGCCATGCAGAGAAACTGAAATAGGGCACAAGTGTCTTTTAATGTAGTTTTTATGATCTGAGTGGCTCTGTGAATTTCAGGCGGTGGTGGAGGCTGGAATGACACTGCCCCTGTTCCTCAAGGGGGTAGACCAATCATTCTGGGAGGTCAGGGTGGAGAACCCTGTCAAGTCATGGGCTGGAAAACTCGAGGAGGTTTTGGAGGCGGTGGAGGGGCCGGCGCAGCTGGTGGAGGAGGTGGAGGATACAGAGGTTAGACCACATTTTTGCCTTGTTTTTATTATATATATATATATATATATATATCTAGGTGCATCTCAATAAATTAGAATGTCGTGGAAAAGTTTATTTATTTCAGTAATTCAACTCAAATTGTGAAACTTGTGTATTAAATAAATTCAATGCACACAGATTGAAGTAGTTTAAGTCTTTGGTTCTTTTAATTGTGGTGATTTTGGCTCACATTTAACAAAAACTCACCAATTCACTATCTCAACAAATTAGAATATGGTGACATGCCAATCAGCTAATCAACTCAAAACACCTGCAAAGGTTTCCTGAGCCTTCAAAATGGTCTCTCAGTTTGGTTCACTAGGCTACACAATCATGGGGAAGACTGCTGATCTGACAGTTGTCCAGAAGACAATCATTGACACCCTTCACAAGGAGGGTAAGCCACAAACATTCATTGTCAAAGAAGCTGGCTGTTCACAGAGTGCTGTATCCAAGTATGTTAACAGAAAGTTGAGTGGAAGGAAAAGGTGTGGAAGAAAAAGATGCACAACCAACCGAGAGAACCGCAGCCTTATGAGGATTGTCAAGCAAAATCGATTCAAGAATTTGAGTGAACTTCACAAGGAATGGACTGAGGCTGGGGTCAAGGCATCAAGAGCCACCACACACAGACGTGTCAAGGAATTTGGCTACAGTTGTCGTATTCCTCTTGTTAAGCCACTCCTGAACCACAGACAACGTCAGAGGCGTCTTACCTGGGCTAAGGAGAAGAAGAACTGGACTGTTGCCCAGTGGTCCAAAGTCCTCTTTTCAGATGAGAGCAAGTTTTGTATTTCATTTGGAAACCAAGGTCCTAGAGTCTGGAGGAAGGGTGGAGAAGCTCATAGCCCAAGTTGCTTGAAGTCCAGTGTTAAGTTTCCACAGTCTGTGATGATTTGGGGTGCAATGTCATCTGCTGGTGTTGGTCCATTGTGTTTTTTGAAAACCAGCGTCACTGCACCCGTTTACCAAGAACTTTTGGAGCACTTCATGCTTCCTTCTGCTGAGCAGCTTTTTGAAGATGCTGATTTCATTTTCTAGCAGGATTTGGCACCTGCCCACACTGCCAAAAGCACCAAAAGTTGGTTAAATGACCATGGTGTTGGTGTGCTTGACTGGCCAGCAAACTCACCAGACCTGAACCCCATAGAGAATCTATGGGGTATTGTCAAGAGGAAAATGAGAAACAAGAGACCAAAAAATGCAGATGAGCTGAAGGCCACTGTCAAAGAAACCTGGGCTTCCATACCACGTCAGCAGTGCCACAAACTGATCACCTCCATGCTACGCCGAATTGAGGCAGTAATTAAAGCAAAATGAGCCCCTACCAAGTATTGAGTACATATGCAGTAAATGAACATACTTTCCAGAAGGCCAATAATTCACTAAAAATGTTTTTTTTATTGGACTATTGAAGTATTCTAATTTGTTGAGATAGTGAATTGGTGGGTTTTTGTTAAATGTGAGCCAAAATCATCACAATTAAAAGAACCAAAGACTTAAACTACTTCAGTCTGTGTGCATTGAATTTATTTAATACACGAGTTTCACAATTTGAGTTGAATTACTGAAATAAATGAACTTTTCCACGACATCCTAATTTATTGAGATGCACCTGTATATACAGATTGGGGCTGGGCCCACAAGCAATCACCTTGAACACAGCAGAAACAACATAGTAACACCTTAGAATAGCAATACCCAGGCGACACCGCAGTAGCATCATGGCACCTCACATTTCAGTGACAATTGGAAGATTTACACTGTTAAATTATAGTCTTACACTTCCTGTTTCCATTGGTTACAGGTGGTGAATGGAGTCCACATTCCACTATTCATTGCTGCTGGAGGTGGAGGCCGTGGCTACAGCAGCCAATCAGAAACCCTAGAGGAAGTGATGGACAGGGATCCCAGCATTCCCGGACGTAATGGAAAATCAGGCGCTGCAGGTAACCCCAACAGATTGTCTGCATTATAAATCAATTAGACAAATTTTAGTATTACTGAACTAGTGTGTATTACTCCTTCTGGCAGACAGCAGCTCACAATAGCAGTGAAGCAGAACATATTGCACACAGGGCAGAGAGTTGTATTTATTTATTTATTTTTTTACTTAATGTGGATAGTTGGAACTATGCTTTTGTTTACCAGAATATCAAGTTTGATTGATATGAAAAAAAAAATAAATAAAAATGCTGCTCCCCCAGGCTTTTTCCTTTCTGGACATGGGCATAATAATTTTATTTTCTGCTAGGCTTCAAAATAGTTATTTATCCAGTCTGAGATTGAATATGATTTTTGAGGTTGTGCCTTCAAATTCCTTGTAGCAGTGCCTGAATAAGACTGAGGCAGCAAATTAGTATTAGAATTTTGGATCTTTGATATATATATATATATATATATATATATATAT